AAAGTTTCGTCGGAACGAAGTTACGGAAAGTTAATTAACAAACAGAGACGTAACAGTATATTTATTTGTTTGTAGTTGAGCCACGGGGGTGGGAGGGGGGATTAAACCGCAGAATTATGCATATCGTTATCAGTTTACTTCTAAGGTGCATTTAATACTTAAAAACTAACTGTGTAAACAGATTCACGATATTACAGTTGTGTCATCCATTGTCTTTTTTTTATATTTTTCCATTAATGGGCACGAACTTCTCGCGTAGCAGGCCGTTTGTTCTCACTAATTGAAAGTTCGTAGGATATCACGTCACACAGTATTAGTCTGTGTCTCTTTTTGAAATCTAAGTTCGGTGGAGGGGCAATACACATAAAATAAAAACAACAAGTCTTATTAACAAAAAATCAAAGCACAAACACGATCATAAAGCAAGGACAAGTTTTTGTATGGATATGTTGAACTGTTAAGAGCAGTGTGGAGAAACCTTTTATAGGTCTCTCTTACCAACTGCAGACTAAAAATAAAAATAAAGCTAAACTGAAATAATAGTAACTCATGAAAACTAAAGTAAAATGACAGTTAACATTTAGAAAAAGAAAATATGTTAAATTAAGAACTCACTAAGGAAGTGATGCACACATGGTAGTGTTCTGTACAACAGAATCGAAAAAATAAGCTTTTGTCAGTTGGCGCTAGTAAACTGTTCATTAAGCCACTTGAAATGCTACTTATTATACTTCTTTTTTGTGGCTGCTTATTCTTTTTATGTCTGAGTACTATAGGATTCAAGGCAAAGTTCAAACTCATCTTTCTGCATCTAGCCATTGAAAACACAATTTTAATTTAACTTTGGCTTAATTTCAATAATATCCTACCTATGTGCAATCGTAAAACAAGGAATTTTACATCTGTGGTTAATCATTGATTTCTTTCTATAATTTTACAGAATTTGGAGCTAAATTAAATTATTCTTACTTTTGAGAAAAATCCTTACAAACCATTTTTATTTTAATATGGGTAGCTCATACACAATGGCTATGGTACGTGTCCGTTTAGTGAATTTTGGAACTTGTGTAAGTTCAAATGGATTCATTTGCATCATTAGAAAGGTTATTTGGTATTCTCAGGTTCATTGATTTTGACTGGTTCGGGAAGGAAAAGATTTATTATTTAAATCTCAGAATTTGACTCAGCTGAATTGCAGAAAAATTTCCAGTGGGTGTCCCTTCAGGTTCTTTGCCAGATACACTGCTTTCTGCTCCTCTGTCCACCCACTCATTTTTGCCAGGAGTTCAAATTGTGCTCTATATGCTTCCCATGGTGCCAATGTGACTTCTGGCAGGACCGAAGATGTCTGTATTAGCGTTTAGCTGCAGGGTCTGGAAGGGACTTTCTGTTGTCTGGGGCTGATTATGTCCATGGCTAATATATCCTCCCTGTGTAAAAGACAGCAAGTCGTCCTTTAATGTATTTAATTCGCTTTGAAAGTTACTAATCTTTTCCATTTGTGTATGCTGGCTTTCTCTCAACTGTTGGAGATTTTCTTCTTGTTTATTTTATTTCTCTTCCAACCACTGCTGTAGTATCTCTTCTTGTTTATTCTCTTTCTCCTCCAACCACTTCTGTAGACTCTCTTCTTGTTTATTTTCTTTCTCTTCCAACCACTGCTATAGCCTCTCTTCTTTTTTTTCTTTTCTTTCTCCCCCAAACACTGGTGTAGTCTCTCTTGTTTATTTTCTCGTTCTTCTTGTTTCTTTTCTTTTCCTCCAACAACCGCTGTATAGTTTCTCTTCTTGTTTCTTTTCTTTCTCCTCCAACCACTGCTGTAGTCTCTCTTCTTGTTTATTTTTTTACTCCAACAACTGCTGTAATCTCTCTTCTTGTTTATTTTTTCCTCCAACAACTGCTGTAATCTCTTTTCTTGTTTCTTTTGCTTGTTTTTGTATTGCTGTCATCAAATATGCTAAATTGTAGTTTGATTTGCCACTTCTCGTTTTCATCTTTTTTTTCGGTCATACTCTCGGACACCAATTTCTTGTGTATCTGCTTGTTTGTTTGTTACTGATACAAATTATTTTCGAGGATCTTCAGCGGTACAGGTCCTTTTTTAATTAAACCAGTTTATGCTTTCTCGATACAAACTTTTAGAACACAGAAGTTCCATAATCAGTACGTTTCTCGTCACTTTAACTTAACAACTTTTATAATACACGTTATAAATCACAGCGATTCACATTCTACACAACTTCGCTCTCGACGAGTGCAAAACACACACTTTATGGCTCATTAGCTCGAAACTAACAGAATCATAAATTATATGGAACTCAAACTGCTCTCTCTTCATTCATCGCGCTGGCTTTCTCTGTCAGAGTTATATATTAACCAAGAGGCCACCTCGAACAAACTCGGACTTCCACGATAATTCGAGAAACTCATCACGCACGCTACCAGTGCCAAGCATGCTAGCAGCGTCACGTGACTTCCGCTGCCGTAACAAATAAGTGTGTAGATGGAGGATAGCACCTTTATTTAAGTTTTAAGGTAAGAACTCTCAGAAGTCTCTAGATCTCTGCAACTATATAAAAATCGTGGAAAAGATCTGTTCCAGACTGAGATAAAACAGCATTATATACACAATTATACAATGCTATTTTCGTCAAGGAGTGTGCTCTACCTACATCACTGTTGTTCATGATGTTAGAAAAACACGTAGGTTCAAGAAGTCTTGACAGAAATGAATTAAATCCCTATAACCCGAGCGCTTTCGAAAGCGAAACCCGAAAGATAACATATAACAGTAAGTAAAGAATTAAAGCAAACAACTATCTTTTCTATTTGCGACCTTTATACTTGGTTGCTGTTTGACTTAAGTTACTAAGCCCTTAAAAAATTGTACGTAGAGGATAAGAAACAAAATATTTTTTTGTTTTATATATACATTTGAATAACTAAAAAAATCATAAATTACTACATTAATACCATAGAATTCTACTATAATTCATCAAGCTTAGTAACTAAGATGTATTTTAGTCTAACAAATATGAAATTTCAAGCAGACTAAAGACACACCCTACCTCAAGGAAATTTTGAAAGAAACGGCGCTAAATTCGTTAAAATGGCTGTGAAATCCACTAGGAGGACAATATGAGCTTCTGATTGGTTATTCGTGTCATATATAAAAATAAGTGTTTATAAGGGGCCGTTTTCAAATATGGAATAAGGTGCCACTGTGGTTGATTTATTACATGAGCAATATCTTTGCAAATATATATTCTAGCTTGTCAATATCGGTAATTTGAGTTTCTAATTCGTTCGAACCTGTAGACTTAGTGTTTTGATTTCACAAACATCGAATTTGACCCGGTGCTACATTCTACATACCACGTGACACACAAAAATCGATGTTTCTGTATTTTTAATATTTGCTTTTGAATTAAGATATTGTGTAATATATTGTACTAAAAGTTGAATTATAATCTACAGTTTGATCCAAACTTATTGACACAAATTCATGAAATAGTAGTTCAATAAAATTTTGAATGCGAGTCAACAAACGAGATGACATAGCCTTTCACTCGTGATCCGTCTCGAAAGGGTTAATACAGCCAAGTAGGTTATAACTTAATAGTCAAATTTGATATATTTCGTTCATTTTAAGTCAGCCATATTAGTTGTTGGTGATGTGCTCAAATTTCATAGTACCAAGATATAATATTCGGCAACTTCAATATAAAATTACTATTAAATGTGTGAATTTAAATCATTTGAAAAAGTTTAACCAAATTTACAGTTCAAAAATTGAAATACGATTTAGAACCTCTAATAGAACTATTAAATTTCTGACACTTTCTTTAATCAACACGAAGTTTATCAAACTATTAAATATATGATTAAATTCATTAACAGCATATATTGATACTAAAATTTCTTAAACTCTAGAAATAATAGATTTAATCACAACGAAGTTTATCAAGCTGATACATCTTCTAATCAACAGATTAAATTTCATAAGGTTCTTAGTTCAGATGTATTTTAAACCATCAAAAGTTTCACTTTTTTCCCCCATCAGCCACACACTGACATAAAAAAAAACTGATACCAAAAGATAACTAAGCTTTTATTTTGTTGGAAAATATCACTTTCCCAATCTTAGAATACAGCGGTGTTTGTAAAACTAAGTAAATAGAGTTTTGCAATACGTGAAATTTGTCTGGATCAAGGAACGATACTGTAAAATACTAAAGATTTGTTTGTCATCTTTGCTCAAACTTGGCTATGGAAAATTCAGAGTGCCGTTAAAGTGTTGCTGATAATAGTGGTTTTAAGAAAGTGGAACACAAAAACTGAAGTCATCAATTTGATTAAATACGTCATATTTTCAACATATTATTAAAACCAAAATTTTACGAGTAATCAGAAATTTTAATTATTTCTCACTGAAATATGACAACACGTGAACATTTCTAGCACACTTTAAAAAAAACAAACTTGTATTTTATTAAAAAACAAATAATTAGTAATATAGATCAAACATGAAAATCACTGAAAAGCACATAAACGAAATGTTTTACTGTTAAGCTTGAAGTTGAGGTATGTGTCAATATTTCATTTTATATATTAGAATTAGGGTTTCCTTAATGTCTTTACAATCTAATCTTTATGAATACTTTACAAAAGAACAAATTCACCATGCTAACTTTAACACGTTTGTTTTATTTTCTAGTTTCGTAAAGTATAGCAAAACATTATAAGAAGCTACAACAACTTAGGAGAGAAAACCAGTTTTTCTTTTTACACTAATTACATAATGATAATTTCAATAATCTTTTGTTCACAATATAGAACAACAGTTAAATAACATTAACTGTTTTCCAATAACTCTCAAAAACCGTTCTTACACTCCCCAAAGCAAGGCGCTAAAATTGTCTATGTAAAAGGTAAAAGTTATAAGCAAAATAAAACAATTCATAATGAACTGTAGAGTATTGTAAGTTATATAGGTTGATTATATTTTTTTCACAATTATTGCAAATTTCACTTAAATTCAATAAAAATTTGTGGGGATAATAAAATGATAAAAGCAAGTGAATATTTATGACTAGAATACAGTTGTTATAACAATATATATAATAAAACAAAAACCATTTGCTATGAACAAAAATAATAAAACTATATTCACTTCTTATCTACCCTAATATACAAGTCTTCCCCAAGTTAAATCCCATAGAAACCCAATTGTCATTAAATGAATATGAAATGTTTCAGAAGAGAATAATCATATGGTTTCAGTAAAACTTTCTCATCACCTTAACCTCTTAGGCCAATCTCACTAGCAGTGCATAAAATTAAAAACAACAACATAGAAATCATGAGAATTTGTTACCAACCATAAAACCGTTGATTAAAAAAATCTTAAATCTACTCAATGCTTTATGAAAGAAAGCTATTTGGGGAGTACTGTATATAAATTCTGGGCGACTTTAATGCAAAAATTGGTGAAAGCAGTAACAACATACTAGTTGGACAGACAGAGAGAGGAAATAGATTAGCACAGTTTTGTGAAGAGCAAGGCTTAGTGATAAGCAACTCTTGACTTAGAAATCACCTTGTATATTGTGGAGGTCACCACAGTATGTTATAATGAAAGAATTTTCATAAGTCAGGTAAACTACCTATTTGTTAAAAACCACTTCATAAAATTTGTAACATGAGTTTGAACTTATCCAAGACCAGATTGTGCTCTGATCAGAATGATATAATAGGACAAACAAGACTAAAATTAAAGAAGCTGAACAAGGATGCTTCACAAAGAACAAAATGGGATTTAAACATTTTAGAAAAAAAAATTTATAACCAAAGATTTTTTTGATAGAGAATAAAAACCAGTTTGAAATATTAACATAACAAGGACTAGTGAGCTAACTTTAAAGAATGTGGTACTGCAGGACGCAGAAGAGAGAATTATGTGGAAGAGAAGAAGAAGGGGTGAAAACAAAACCTGGATGAATGATGAAACTAAAAAAATAAAAATAAAGAGACAATTAGAAAGAAGAGAACAGAAAGAGAAGAAAGTAGATAAGGAAATAATGCATTGGTTTAGAAACAAAGGATTAGTATCTGAACAAGAATTGTACAGAAACTAAGGAAGGTGAGATAATGCATAACATACTTGACATGTATAGAAGAATACAATTTGGAAAGGAAACCTACTCTGTCTTCCAGTGGAGGCATAAATTAAGAAAAATCAGATACTTCTTGAAATTTAGGGTGTTAAAACAATGTAGGTGGAATATGTAAGACACCTGTATAACAATCTCAGGAAAGAAGAACCAGCCCAAGAACTGGTAGATTGAATTATCAACAACCCAGCAATTCTGGGAAGGAACAACAGGAAGCTGTCAGCAGGTATGGATTAAGGGTTATGTAGGCCCTTGGCAATTTTCTATTATAGGCCCCTAAATTTGCTGATGCACCATCTATTTATGTGCCTTATTTTAATTTAGACCCAAATTGTTCCCTTGTGAATGTGCTTGTTCTCCTAGCACTATAGCTAATTAAATTAACCTCTTTACGCCATGTACACACACATATTCTACGTACAATACAGTGTGTGTGTGTGTGTGTGTATACATACACACTGTGTATTTGTTTCACCATGGTGTGACCAATAAATGGGACACATTTGTGCTTTGTGGTCTTAGAGCTTCAAAACAATGGAAGGCATACCATACAAAAAGCTTTAGATTTATTCTGACCTATCAATTATATATCAATTTTCTAGATAAATGTATTTTTAATGAGAAATATTATTGCACTATTCTTTTCTGTTACAGTATCTTGATTGAAATGTCTGATGGATACAAAAGAAAACCTGAGTCAGGTCATCAAAAGAGGAGAAAGAAGGAAGAGGAGGAGGAAACAATGGAAAAGATGAAGGGATCTCTACTGAAATACATGAAAAGAGATAACAAGGAGCACAAGACTGATTCATGTAAACCTGGGACCTCAACAGAAGATACCAGTGGGGCTGATGTCACCAATGAAGATATTGAACAAGTCAGGAACCGTGAACAAAAAGAGTGTCATCAGGATATAGCAAAGAGAACACTGTTCCACCACTACACACAGAACTCACTTCCCCAGAACTAAAGCACAGTTATGATAAAAAGCCAGCTTGTTGGAATGTAACTGCTGATTTGACAGAACAATTTTTTAACCAATGTCCATCACAAAATCTAGATGCAGACTTTATGTTAAAAGTCAGACAATATGGGGACAAAAAGCAACATCCAGGTCATGAAAACTGACAAATGGTGAAACTGTGACAAGAGACTGGATGATTTATTCATCATCTACAGGAAATGTCTTTTGTTACATTTGTAAAGTATTCAATCAACAAATCTCAGGGATACAATTCATACTAGGATTTGATGATTGGAAGCATGCTGGTAGTAGAATAACCTCTCATGACATGTCACATGATCATATTGCATCCCTCTCTGCAAAGTTGTGTTTTCAAAGCTCTAGGAGAATAGACTCTAAGCTTGTTGAGGAGCATGAACAATCACAATATTATTGAGTGGAGGTACTGAGATGAGTTGTTTCTGTAGTGAAGTTTCTTTCTGAAAGAGGTCTTACATTCTGAGTGAAAACAGAGATACATAGGGGCTCAAACAATGGGAACTTCCTGGTATGTGTGGACCCACTAGCCCAGTTTGACCCCTTCCTAAAGGAACACATTGATAGATATGGAAATGCAGGGAAAGGTTATGTGTCTTACCTCTATTCTAATACATGTGAGGAAAAAATTAAATGAAACCATAATTACAGAGATAAAAGAGGCAAAATGTTACAGCATTAGCGTAGATTCGACACCTGTCCTGAGCCATATTGAGCAATTATCTGTCATTATAAGGTATGTGAATTCAACTGCAGATGTCGTGGAAAGGTTCCTTCAATTCATTCCAATAGAAAGTCATGATGGTCAGTACTTGTTCGGTGTGTTGCAAGATACTTATGGTCTTGACATCACAGCTTGCAGATCCCTGTCCTACGATAATGCGAGTAACATGAGTGGCATCTATTCAGGTCTGCAAGCCAAGTATAGGCATGTTAACACATTAGCAGAATGGCTATCCTGCTCAGCACACAGTCTGAACCTGGTTGGTTCATCTGCTGCAGAGTGTTGTTTGGTGCTGTAAACTTCTTTGATGTACTGCAAGCCCTATACAACTTCTTCTCGGCTTCCCCACAAAGGTAGGCTATCCTGCTAGAGAAGACGAAAAATGTCAAAACCTTGTCAGAAACAAGGTGGGCAGCCAGCAATGATGCTACAAAAGCTCTCGTTACACATTATAAGGGCACTCACCAAAGTCATAAATCATGATCATATAGCACCTTCAGCAGTTAGCAAGGCAAGATCTTTAAAAAAAAAATTAGGCCAGTTAGAAATAGCAGTGATGAGCATCATGTGGGATGACATTCTATAAAGAATAAACATTGTGAGCAAGGCATAGCAAGAACCAGGGATTGAAATTTGAACAGTATTAAAAGTCTATGACAGTCTGATTGCACACTTGGCACATATTTGTAAGAAATTTGATGAATTTAAGACAAAAGCTTGTGACATGACCACATCTGGATAAAAAGAAACAAGGACAGGACCAGGAAGAAATACTAGTAACATATTTCAAACAGAAACATTCACACCTGGTTACTGGTCAAAATGTGGAAGTGATGCACAGCATATGGAATGCTTGAGGAACAGTTTGGTTTTCTCCTTGATTCCTCACTATCAAGGGAAACAATTTCAAATAAAGTAACTGAGTTGGTGGACATCTACATGGATGACATTGAATCCATGTTTACTGAGGAGTTTATGTTGTTCAGAGAAATGTTTCCCAACAATAAATCAGTGGCAGAATTACTGAAAACTCAGGTAACCAAGGTGCTGGTCAACAGCTTTCCAAATGTGAATATAGCTTTCAGAATATATTTGTCAATACTTGGTACCAGCTGCAAAAGTGAGAGATCAGTTTCATACTTATAAGGATAAAAAATTGTCCAAGATCTATAATGGGCCAAAGTCTCCTTTAGTTATTGGCTCTACTCAACATAGAGAGAGATCATGTTAAAAAGTTGGACTTTCAGGACATTATTGAAGACTTTGCTGCAGGCAAGAGCTGAAAAGTGTATTTAGTATGAAACTATTATCAATGATAATAAACCATTGAATTGTTTAATATTCTGATGTTTGATAAAAACTGTTACTTGTTATTCATTATGAAAATAAACTTAAAAGTGGAGTTTATTTATTCCTTTGTGATTTTTATTAGATTTTAGTTGGTTTCAGGCCGGTCAGGTGTGGCGTGTGTCTAAGCACTAAGCAAATAGATACTAAATTAATGTCTATAATCACTTAGTCTTATGTCTATAATCTATTTCTCTTTTGTCAAACTTAACAGAACAGAATTTTTCCATTTATTTCATTGGCCTATAAAACTTCATAGGCCATACCACAGTGAAAATACATATTTCCCAAATTTCATAGGCCCTAGGCACAGTGGCCCCCTTGATAATCCGGCCATGGCTGTCAGAAGTTTAAAAGATGGAAAAAAATCACAGCATAGATGAGATTATGGCAGAGTTTATAAAACAAATGAAACATTTAGGAATTAAATATCTCACTGCCACTAAGAACTCAATTTATAGAGGAACAAGCTTCAGGCAATGGGGCATGAGCTAATACAGGGCTATCAGCTTGATCAGTCAGACCTCAAGAGTGGGAGAATGATGGTGTTCATTAACTATGAGAAGTTAGAGATCCTTGATGTAGATTAAGCAAACACCCAGAATCCTTAAGAATTTATACTGGAGTGAGGAATTAGCAGTTTGAATTCATGGAAAACTAAGCAGTTGAAAGTGTGGAAAGGCGTATAATAAGGAGATGTGCTGTTACCAACATTACATAATTTGTATGTAGATTGGTTAATGAGAGGGGTAATTACTGATATAGGTTAACAAAAACAGAATCACCAATCACAGTAATAATTATGCTTATGATACAGCACTTACAGATGAAAATGAGAAAGAAATACAACAGTTACTTCACAGGTTTGTTCATAAGGGAAAGACTATGTACTCAGAATAAATATCAACAAAACTGAGACATTGGTAATTTCACAATATGATGAAGGTCTCAGCGTATGCATCACAGTAAAAGGTAAAGAGTTAGAACAAGTACACGAGTTTACTTAATCAGGGACAAAGATCAATAGCGATGGAAAGTGTAACAAAGCAAAAAGAGATAGACTGAAGAATAGGAATATCAAAAACCAGCACTCTTCGATTATAAAAAATTTCTTCAGGAAAGATATCAAACTAAGACTGAAATGATACATATGGTCTGTCCCACCCTACATGTTAAAAATGTGAACCATGTCTATAAAACAAACTGACAGCTTGAAGAACTTGACAGGTGAAGTTACAGAGAAACAATGAAAATGAGCTACAGAGTAAGAAAAACTGACGAAGAAGTATTGAATTTTGGTTAGTTATTTATATGTGCAGTTTTAACAGATTTAAGGAAGGAGGAAGAGCACAGAATTATAACTATTTAATCTATAAAGGAGGGTTATATAGTTCTTAAGTTAATACCATATATTAATATTAGATAGTAATTAGACAAGGATAGAGATTGGGTGTTTTATGGGTATTTTATTGCACCTACAACCAGCTATAGACAGTGAGTGGTAGTGGGATCTAGGACACGAGTTCTAGTGCCCAGATCCTAATCATTTGTTGAAACTGTAGCTTGCTTTTTAATTTTCCATCTGTTGCTTTGATTATGTCTGGTAGATGGAATATCCCCAATGCTATTTGGTCCTATGGCCACAAACACTTGTACTTTCAAATGATATCATTCATACTTTTGCATAAATGGTATAACTTTGTTTCATTATAGCTTTGCTGGTGGCAATCATGTATTTGTTGGTATGTACATCGATAATAATAAAAATGTTGTATTTTTACATAACACATGTATATATATATATATATAAATTATTTTTTTTTCAATAGAATTTCTGTTGTTTAATTATTACCTGCTAATTATGGCTGGAATTCAAAATTAACTGTACAAGTGTCATCCTGAAAGAAAAGACTATACAAGTCAGTCATCATTATTTTTTTTGCTGAAAAATTATATTTTATGTTTCTTAAGGATACACTGAGATTTATTTTTTTTACCAAAAATTTATTATGTTTAAGATCTACATTAATGACTTTATGCACCTTTTATCATGTACACAAAATGATAATTCTATTCTATTTAATATAAGTTATTAAAGGAACTATATTAATGTATGCACATCATTTCATGGATTTATTGCTAATACTTTTGCAACTATAGTTTGGGCATCAAATTTAAACCAGACAGAAAATTGAATACAATATGAAAGAAACTAACAGTTCTTGAAAATAACCCTCTGAAAAAGAAATTTATTAAGAAGAGCTTCCCAAGGAACCAACTAAAATTGAGGTTTAAAGGAACAAAAATATAATATTTTATTTCTGTATCTTATGTATATGTAACTTTTCCACTGCTATAAGATTTTAATTTCTACCTATACTATTACAAAAAAATTCTTAAAACAACTGAAGGAAATTCTGCAGTGTCAATGGATTAATATACAGGAAAATAAGTGCTTTCAGCAACCAATATTCATCATAAAATTTTTCATTCAAAAATAAGATATAAAAATAAAGATGACCTTGAAAGAATGTAAGTTAAATTATTGATAATTCAAACAACCATTAATACAGTAAAATACTTAACATAGCCAGGTAAAGGCACACAAATCAAACTAAACAGTAAAACATGACAGCTTTCCGTCTACTCGACAATAATAAGTACTCGACTAAGTTGCATTTTTGATATTCTGAATATTCACTTTGATTAACAGAGAAAGTTCCCATATTTAAATCAACTCAAATCAACATCACAAGGGGTTCAAGGTTTTGTCCTAGAAACTTTAATTTTTACACCTAACCTTTGAAACCAATACTAATGTATTTGTGTGGAGAAAGAAATATAGAATTATGGATAATAGTGAGGACCAACTTCAGTGATCTCTTTCCGACACACTGGACAATATCCTTCTCTCTTCATCAACATTTTAGCACACTTGGTACAGATGCAAACATGAAAACAGGGGAGGAGAGTTGAGTCTCTAACAGCATCCATACATATTACACAATCTTTAACTTGATGATTTTGGTTTTCTAAAACAAAGCACACAAATAAATGATAATGGTGTAAGAAATAGTTTTATGTTATATAAATGAATACTTACATGACAAATACAGGTTTTATAACCATTTGAATAATAATAAAAATCAAGTGAGTAAAGTACATGAATCCTAACTTTTAAAGTATGTTCACAATGCATTGTTGGGATTTAACCAAATTTTTATAGTACAAAAAAAAAGCTTTCATGACTTTATTCACAAAGATAATGAAAAACAATTAAAAATTCACATACTCAGGCTAACTATGTCACCTAAAATCAAATCATACATCAATGCCCCCTTTGATGACATGGACAAAACCAGACTATCAAAATAATGTAAAATGTTCTACCATATATAATAAACCAACAAGCTAAGTGTTTTGAAAAAACAAACAAACACAATTTCAAAATAAAATTACAAGAAATTAAGATTTTAAAAAGGATAACCACTTAAAAAGTTTAATGAATTCAGGCAACAAACATCAGCACTAAATATTTCAATTATAATTTGGTTACACATTTTCTAATGTAATTGGAATGAATAAAAAGTTAATTACAGGCATGGAAAATAACTGAAATGAGCAGTACAATATAGCTTCACAAGTAACAATAAATAAATACACTGCCACTCTAAATAATTTTGGTACTGTTTTAAATTCTAACCAGATAACAATGTCTTTCTATTGTTTACATAGAAGAGCTATGCATTTCACTCTTAATATTAGCTAAAAATAATTACCATCAATCGACAATGGAAAGGAAGAACCTTGAGGAATTAAGTTTGGAATGCTGAGCCTTGGTCTTCCCCGAAGTCCTCGACTATTTTGGAAATTCTTTATATATTCTGTTTGGTAAAAATAGTTATAAATAATTATTATTTGTATAAAATATTAATGGTCTGTTAGTTTTTCAATCAAGTACCTAAAAAACAAAGTTAACTACGTTATATATTTATTTTTAGTGTCAAGAACCATACTTATTAAGAATTTTTTTGACTAGGATGTTTGTTGATTTTTAAATAGGTTTACACAGTTTTAAAGAATTTCAATAGATTAAGTTAAACACTAATGTTTTGAATAATGCAATAAGCACCAAAAAAACTCAAACCATAAACAGGCTAAATTCTGTCCTACTCAACATGATAGCTTTCCTTCTACTTGATGAGAGAACCATTATCCTAATTGACATGATAACCCAGGTCACTAAAAAATGCTAACTTTTTTCCTATTCACACACTCAATTGCCCTACTTAACACACTTAATTTCATTTTACCCAAACTTGATTAAAAGATTAAAGTCCAAAGAATTCAGAATTGACAAACTGATTTCATTATATAATTATCTCTAAAACTTGACTCCTGACAACAGATTTTAGCCCAACAATATAAGATCAGAACTAGATCAAATGACCCAGATGTATAGTTATCCAAGAGATAACAAAATATTGTAATCTAGCAAGACAAGCTCAGAGGCAGCAAAATAATCCAATCATATGATTATTCAAAACTGACTCCTGTAGTTCAACAAGATAAGCTCAAAACTGCCAATAATTCAGACATAAATACTTATCATAAGGATAGGGTAATCAGATATTAATCATTATCATGGGGCCACCTGTGCTCTGGATGTACTTCAAAGTTCATCCAAATGTATCTTAGATAAATTAATATATTACAATGCAACTATGTTTTAATTATTTTTATTAGGGCTCAAGCCTAAAATCTTATTCAGTAAATATCGAGTACCCTGCTTTAGGATCACCTAAATTTCTAATTATAATTTAGTTTCTGTTTTTCTTATTATTATTAGATACTAATTATTAACTTATTTAAACCTACATTTCAGCTGCTAATCTGCTGCCATCTACAGGGATGTCCTAAGAAGGACTATGTTTGTGGTGGTAGTAACCAACACTTCCTCACAGATATTATTCTACTCATCCAGGATCTCCAGTTTTGCTTACTTCTGCATTTGGTGGACTGAATGTGTTATCAGTTTAGTGGGTTTAGAAGGTTCTTTTATCTTTCTTTTCCTCATGCATGATTCATGTACCATTATTTTTGTATTTTTCCATTTTACTGCAGTCTTCTCTGGCATGATGGGCTATTGCAAACATATCAATGTTACAGAGTCTTGTATGTCTATTATGCTTCTGAATTCCAACTTGTTATTGAGCTTGTTACTTCTCCAATGGAGTCCATATTCACAAAGAGTGTTCTAAATGGTGTTTTTGCTCTCAACCGGGTTCAGGTGGTTTGGTCAGTATCAATTGTAATCATATCATGTTGTGGTTTCCAAATACCCTTCTGACTCTTTATGACAGAGGTGATTAACAGTTGTGTGTGTTTGTAACTTTCTTCTTGCATATTCTCAGTTTTATCTTCCTTATCATGTGTTAAGGTAATTCATTGCAAAGGAGGGTAGTGGTGTGTTTCTTCTTCTTGGCTTCTTCAGTATTACAAATCTTGTTCGTTCAGGAAACCAAGCAGTCTAAGACACTTATCCTTACATTGTTGGGATGATTTGATTTAGAGATCAGTGGAGTAGGAAGAAGCCCCCCCCCCCTCAATCTGTCCTAATAAAAATGCATGAAAATTACTCTCAGGAAAAGCAAGATAATGTATAAAATTTAATTCAGAACCCAATAGCTTCTAGATTTCTATGGAAAGTCCTAGACCATGGCTGTAATGAGTGTGCCTGTGAGATGAGCTGATAGCACACTGGTTTTTCTATAAATAAGACCTAAAATCAAATTACAGCCATTACCATCTCAAACACAGTCCTTCTCAAGACTTCCCTAAAGATGGCAGCAGATTAGGAGCCAAACATAGGATTAAACTGGTTAGTAATTAGAACCTAGCAATTAAAAATAATTACTAATTGATAATTAGAGACTTAGTTGATTGTAGAGACTACTTACCATGACAACAACAACACATTCATATAATTACCCAAAACTAACTCATGATAAGAAACTGTAGTCCAACAAGACTAGCTCAGAGTTGACAAAGCTACCCATACACAGTCATACAACTATCCAAAAATGGCCTTGACAACAGATTGTATATATATATAGACACACACACACACATATATATCTCACCAAATTTCTTTGCCTCCTTCTCTTCATTTGTCAGTAGAAATGGTTCGGGCCCTATACGAAGGAATGGTATCTTTCCCATCTTTCCTAGAAATGATTGAACTGTAAAATAACAAAATATATTGGAAAAGACACTTTTACAGCATTAAAGAAAAAATAAAATAAAATGGGCTAGTCATTAAATTACAATTCATTCTTTACAATCTGATTCCAGCATTACTAAATTATGTTTGGACATGATTAGACAATTAGGTTGTTAACTCTCTCACTACAGGCTCAGTCCCAGGAGCTGACCTCATAACCATTTTGTGCTTGTTATAGTTTTCATGCTATAACTTTTAATTCAATATGCATATCTTCACAGAATTTTGCAGATTTATCAGTAAACATTACAAGGCTTTCGTACACAAAACACTAGATTTTTTAAGTTTTCGAATGTTGACTATTCAACATGTAAAGTAATTTTGATTTTAAGATTAAAAATACTTTTATGAATCAGAAAATATTCAAATTTCACATACAAAATATTTATAACCTCCAGATAATTATCAAATGTTTTTTTCAGAAAATTTTTCTTATTTTATCTGTTACTTTCACTATTGTATCTCTGTATGGGTTTGGTTGATTCAACCAACCTCATAACAACTGTAAAAAAATTATATTTTTTTTCATTCTACAAATGTTTAGCCTAAATAGCTTAAATCTTATAACATTACACAGACACACACATATATATATATATATTTATTCTATTGACCTTTCAGCAGTGTCTGACAAGCATTACAGAAGTTGAATGACGTAGCTCACATGTAGTGCTTTTACCGTATACAATAATATAAAAGTGGTCTTTACAGAGTGACCTGACTTGTCTGTGTTTATTGGACCAGTATTTTGTAAAATACAGTCATATTTTGGTTATAATACATTATATATGTATATACATTATTACTATTTACAAACAAGTTCTTAAATTTCAGTTATTTTTCTTAAAACATAAAACAGTACATGAAGAAGTATAGAAAACAATTATTTCTTCTAGTTATGAACTTTGTGTTCATTTGTTGCTTGCTGTAATTTAGTAAGCCTTATTAAATTTTGCATGTGGAGAACATAGAATAAAAATTGTTTTTTAGGTTTTATATATGAATTTTGAAATAACCAAAAATCATAAGTTACTGTACCAATACCACAGAATTCTACTACAATTTATCAGGCTTAATAAGTAAGCTGTATTTGGGTCTAAAAAATATATTTTTTGAGCTTAATAATGTCTTACCTTACCACTTGGAATCTACCATGGAAGGAAAGAGTTTCCCACATAAATACTTCTCAGAGGCTCAGAAAACCACGTGTGCAGCATTCAAAGTTTTTGCTTGGTTATTTAGACATCCTAAACAGAAGTAGGTGTATGTAGGCAACTATTTCCAAAAATGAAAAGAGGTGGGTGGATCCACTGTGTTTGATTCAATAAATGTTGCAATATATCAGCAAATAGAAAAGAAAGGAAGTTCTTATTTTATATTCTAGCTTGATAATATTGGTAATATGAGTTTCTAATTCATAAGAAACTATAGACTTTGTACTTGGACATCACAAACATCTATTCTGAACCAATGCTGCACTCAACACACCATGTTACAGACAAAATTCTATATTTAGGATTTTTGTTTAATATTTACTTTAAAAAAAAACTAATGTACAATACATGACCTTTCCTAAACTGCAAAGGTATATGGGATTGTAGCAGTAATATGCTGTTATGCATTTGTGATGATGCAAATTAGATAGTGGTTTTCATGAGGATTTGTGTTGTATATCATGTCCTATATACTTTTACATACAATTCAAATTCTAAAATATACATGTTGATATCTAAAACTAAACGAAAAAATAAACTGTATTCTTAAATGAATAGTTGTATAATATTTTAAACAATAACTTATGTTTAATACTAGGTCTACAGCACTACAAATGTAATTCAAGTGGACCATTTGCTGCCCACTTCCTTGGTTATGTTTTTGTTTAATGTAACTTGCTTACAGTCATATAGTTTATAAAATAAATGTTAAAATACACATTTAATAATTCCACAGTCATTTCTTTGCAATTACATTTGCATACAACCTTTTCTGTTACACAGAAACTTCATAAAACTTGTATTCATAAAAAAAAATAGCCATTTTGTAATCTTATATACAATTCAAAACTCCATTGTTGTTTGTTAGTGTACTGTAATGTTGTGAAGTTTCATGCATGGTTTATTATTATTATTAATTTATTTAGCTGACACCTTTATCCAAGGCAACTAATACATAACAGTTTATCTTCTTAATGTTAATAGGATGTTTTTACAATTACCAAGAAAATTCAAATAACAAACATAACCAGACCACAGAGATAATAAAGCTTTATATAATATTGTGTTTGTTTGTTTGAAGCTGAGCGCAAAGCTACACAATGGGCTATCTGTGCTCTGCCCACCACTGCTATTGAAACCCAGTTCCTAGCATTAAGTCTGCAGACATATCAAATGACATATTATATTATGTTTGTTTTCTCTACAGAGAATTGTCTATTTTGCTCCCAGTTCAAACTTTATACTCATGGGAAACACATCAACGACTTTAGCTGAATTTCTAATGGCTCTTATCACAAAGTTAGAAAGAAAGAAAAAATTATGACAGTTAAAGGACATTGTTGGGTTTTTACTTGTTATTATTCTTTGTTATTAGGTGTATTATTTAATCACTCTAAAAATTATTTTTTTGAAGTAGTACCATTAGTAAAAAAAAGTAAAAAGAAAAGGTTAAATTCCATTGATAGTTCACAAGACGAAAATATAAAAAAAAGTTGACCAAGGTAGGTACTGTATTTCTTGTTTTTCATGTATATTCTTTATTTATTGTTATAAAAGTAACTAAAATGTAAAAAAATAGAAGTTACCATTTCCTAAACTGAAAATGTATTTCCTATAATACTTACCTCCGCTGACACTATAACTATTTCTCGATCTCTAGGGTTTCCATTCTTTGCCAATCTAAGCATTGAAAACACTTGTTCCAGTCTTTTTATACCCAATCTGAATGCCCCTGACAAATTCTAATTTGCAAAATTCTCCACCAATTTCAATGCACCCTCTGTCTATAATATAAGCACCTCAATCAGATAATGCAATCACTTTTTCGAAACATAAACTGGGTTTTAGTGAGGAGATAAGGCAGAAGAGTGTCAGTTTTCAGTTTAGGAAAATGTTAACTTCTGCTTACATTATAGCTAGAATACCATATTGAGAAGGTGGAGGGGGCCAGTGCAAGTATGAACCATACAGAAAGTGTCTCTATAGAACAGATGAGTACCAAGATGATACAAGAGTGGGAAAACTGCACTACATCCAGAATAGGTATGCTATTCACTGGGAACTCAGTTCCTATATCAAAGGTGGAATAGAATATGAGTATTTGTCAGTATAGGCCAGCCCCAACCAGGTAGCCAAGGTTCCACAACTCAGGGTTGGAATTAAGAGGTAGTGGAGCCTATATCCTACATTGGTGGCTAGGGCTATTGGATTGCAATGGTCTATATATATATATATATATATATATATATATATATATATACTAGTAGTCGTACTCCGTCGTCGT